ATAAGATATGAAAGATTTATCAGGTAAATAGCAATCTGATTTAGCATTATTAAGGAAAAGAGCTATGTGAACATTCACAACGAGCGCAAATCATTTATGAGGGCCAAGTACGTTTACGAGAAAAATTTTCAAACTCAACCCACCTCTGCCCCTCCCTTCATCCACCATCAATCTTCTTGATTATCTTTATCTAACCTGATCTCTTACCAACCCCTTACCTCAACTATAAGAAGCTTCTTCAAGACTTTTTTCTTACAACACTATCAGAAATGAACGATTCTATGTTTCCCTCTCCAATATGGCCCTCTCTCAAAACTAGGTTTTCATGACGGGTGCTTGACCATGTTACTTATTGTTTTTGTTTAATTTTGAATTATTAAAACAAACAGTAAGCTGAGACCAAAAGTTATTCAGCATAGGTAAAGAACCAATTTTTCAGTCAAGAATAGTATGCTTCTCTGTGCTGCTGGCCACACATGCTTGTTGGGAAGAAACCATTTGTTTGTTGGACTTTTCCAAGCTAATCCGCGCTTTTAAATGTACAGCGGTCCCAAGAAAGATCTGGTAGCTCATTCAAAAAAGCGTCCCGTCCAACCGCACTACTTGGCCACAATGATTTCACTTTCAGCGAAGCAAAAAAAAACAACGAATAATTTTCTACAGCCAAGTTTTCAAAAAGATCTCTCGTGAAGTCATAAAGAAGTGTGTACCGAGGATTCGAGCGGCTAAACCATATTTATGGTATATAAATTGCAGAGAAACTGCTCCCTCAAATCAGTGATCAGAGAAGTGGGTGCAGGGGGAGAGGGTGGTGCGGTTTCGATGACATAATTGGACGCCATTGGTGGGCACACCCCTCATCTCTCCGAGATGAAGGGCTGGGACCGCCTTTTGACGCCTTTCCACCAATGACATTCAATGACGTCGTCACAACCAAACTGCCCTCCAGTCATATGATCATTGCCTTTAAATTTTAGGAAATTCTACGAAATCGATTCCAAGACGCCGTTACTTCATAGTGAGCCGAATCTTATTTCCAGGATTGAGCATCCAAGTGGAGTCGATAATTTACGCCTACGAAGCCGATTAAATGACAAGTGCTCAATCTGATAATCGGCCTCAACGTGTATCCGCTTCCTTGTACAACGCTGATGTTTATTCACTGTTCAGGAATTGCACAAAAATAGCTAAACAATCGCCACCACAGGGCCAACATAACAAAAAGGGCAGCAATAATCTAAACTAAGCGTCATCGTCGCACCAATCTTTCGTCTCAGCATTCCAGCGTCTACAAGCACCCTATTCCAATATCTTTCTTGCTCGATCCGCATTTCAATATCTCCATGGGGGTAGATTTTCGGGATAACACAATCAGTTCGCGACAAAAAAGTGCATTTGGATGGCGAAATGATGACGTGAAATGTGTGCGCGCGCGGTGCAATCGAAATTACCCTCCTCGTCCATGACTACCTCATAATAGGGCTGCACACCCCATCATCCTTTCACCCATCACAGCAACGTCACAAACGATTAATATGACACTAGAGCGATAAACGTAGGAGCCAATTATAGGTATTTCTTGTCAAATGGCAAAGAAAAAAATTATTGTGAAATTTGCACGGCTACCCTTACTTTACTTTACTGTCACCCTTTTTAATTCTAACAAATTATCAGTAAAATTAGCTGCTACTCAAATAGAAAACGTGCGCCTATATTAATCTTGCCCGTTAGTGGTAAAGAATTTCCCATATAGGTCTCAGTACGTAACGCGTGAAAATGCATCCTGCCTAGCAGCTATCAATATTCAAAGCCATTCAGCTGGAAAATGGAGCTGAGGTGAATTCAGTGCGACTCGGACTGTTAATTGGAGAATAATTAAACTTGTATGCATTTGGTTATAAATAAACCTTTTCTCAAATACGCCACGCTTGCTACATCAGTTCAGAATCGTAAGGGAAGTTGAACGCGATTTGGCCTACTCATCGGATTGCGGCGGACGGCCGATGTACAGGTCAGATTCTTTCTGAAGTTTTCGCCCTTCCAAGTGAGCCTGGCACAACGATTCCCAAGGAATGAGAGGCCCGGTTCCACTGTTGGGATGCGAACCGCGATAGGACCACCGGACCGTGGGGGCAGTATAGGGCGCCTCTTTTTACTACATCAGCCCCATCACGACATTGCGAAATTCGGTGGATTGTCGCAACCTCGCCCCAGCGCCAACCATTGGCTGTTCCGTCCCTAGGAGCTCGTCAATATTTTAGCCAACTTGTCTGAGTACGATGACTTGTTCACACAGACTCCCAAAAGGTAAGATTATTGTATAAGCCATACTGCATTAAAATGCTACTGCGATTCAGGGAAGTAGAGTGCATGGCGTTCCAAGAACGATTGACACACATCGTAAGATGGCATCTTTAGTATCGAAAGCTTCAACAAACAATATCACAAAAAAAAACCTCTTCAATAGTTACAAGAATAAAATGCAAGATCAAGAAGTCCGTCACTTTTTTTTCTCAAGGGCCATTTTGTAAAAGAATGCAGTAATTTACGCCTCTACTACGTCCCTATATCATAACAATGAATCGAAACTTTTTCCGCGTCAATTACAGGTCTTGAAGACATTCGCACATGAGCGCACGCGCAATCGCTTGTCAGTACGAACTACATAAATACTAAATAAGGTCTAAAGCTCGCTTGGTTGATTACAACTTTAACTGCAAAACCATGTGCGCCCGAGCATATAAACGATTTTGAACGGAAACTGATGGCACAGCATATTCAAGGAAAAGCCGATAATCTTATCATTCGTGGTTTTTGGGTCGTAGAGCAATTATTTCAAAATCGCCGCGCCGGCGCCTGCATCCGAACCAAAAATCTATGAGGATTTGTTCTATTTGTGCTATCTTACGAATTGCTGGCAGAAAGCCAGTTGTTCCAGTTATTGCGATCAAGCCCATGCTTATAGCCAGAGCAACTGTAGAGTCTTGTCAGCGATACCACAAAATGGAGAGAGAATCCAACCACATTGAAATTCGATGAGCAAACTAACAAACAAGTGCGGTAAATGCGGTTTTTGACGGTTCGCTACAAGTGCAGATTGCAGCATCCTTAATGTGGAGGAAGTGCGCAATCAGTGCCTCTTAGTTCCGTTCACGGGCTGCTTCGATAAATCCTTTAGGTCCACTTAGTATTCAAATTCCCGCGCTACTTCAAAATTCTGGCTCGAGTGGTTCGCAGACAATGCAGTTAGATTTTAGCAATAATGCAAACATGTTTGGGACACGGAACGTAAAAAAAAGCCTTGAGAAGAAGAAAAGTAATGATCCTCCTATGAAAACGAGGACTGACCCGTTTTCTCGGTTTTATGAGGAATTCTGAAGATTCTGGCTGCCCATTCTGCGTTACTCCCTCGCAAATCCCCATGACCATGGAGTAAAAATCAAGTTTCAAATATATTTACACCACGGAGAAGAGCAAAAGCCCCCCCCCCACATTTTAAACGAAATTAATTACTTTGTTAAGTTCGAACCGAGTGATCTCAGATGAAAAGTGAAGAACATATTCCAATTTATCAAAGCTTCATAGAGACTTCTACCCTAATGACATCAAGTCTTCCCATGGGAACAGGATGTACGGCTCGAACTCAACGAGGTCTTTGACGGATCGCCTACCATTATGACGTAATTTGAAACGCTCGTCGGAAGGGATCTTACACATTAGATTTAATGTCCCATTGAATCGGTTTGAAAAATTATGTAGCAGCTTCAGGCTGGAGCGGTCACAGTAGGCCTCTTGAGCCCGAGCTCGTGATGGAAGGTGACGTCATATTCTGAGACAGAGGGCAGTGAAGGAGGGCCTGCTTCGTGCTTGTGCAGGAGGGGGAGGATATCTAGGGAATATTCTGCCATCAAAGCTTCCAACAACACCGGCACCCTGTGCGACCAAAGGTTTGGTGATTGCGCCATGAGCGAATTGCATTCCCCCTGTACACACCTTACACCACTCATACTATATATATGGGCTTCCCCATCCTCCTACGGGACACACATTTATTTTGCCATTTTTAACAGGTTCTGGGGATACGATAGCAATAGTGGCAACCAATTGGCCATAATTTTAATACAGCAAGAGAAGCCTGGTAGCAGTCAACATCGAGTGGAACATCCATAGATATGCGGAAAAAAGAATGTATTCCTTGTCAAAGAGAAACGAGACCTGGTTCACCGCGTTACCACTTGTTCTAAAGGGAGGTTTTAGACTTTGCTCAACTCTGATTATTTTTCTATCCTTGGACAAACGCTACCCAATTTTGAGCTTTTAGGTGTAAGCGTTCGTCTTCGACGGCTTTACCTTTTTCAAGAAAGGGAAGAGCAATTTGAATCAACTTCGAAACGGGTATGGCTAGAGAAGCAAAGAACTAAACTGAAAGTCCAACAAGAACGAGATTAACATAACAACATAAATCAGCCAGCGAGGGCAATCTCAAGGGGTACTGGCAGAAGGAATTTGCGCTGAACTCGCGCCTTAAGCCTTAGCCGTCCAGGTTTAACATAGAACCGAAGGAAGAATGTCAGATTCTTAAAAAGCTTACACTAAATAATAATACTCGAGAAGCCCAGCGGAAACTCTTTAAGAGACAAAAGAAGAACGGCCCTTCACTCACTTCCTCGTCACTTAGCATAGGAAAAGGGCACCTACGGGAGGCAACCACGAAACCGGTCAATGAAAACAGATCAATATTTCATCACTAAAGGCTCTGTTTTCTCTCCGACATACACAGCTCGTCTCTCACGGACTTTTTTGCGAACGAAGCGCTCAGTAAGAAACAGCCGAAACGAGGCTGGACCAACTAAATCATATTACCGCATGCCGACGCTGCCACCGAGCAGCGCTAGCAACTGAAGACTTCGCGTCACATCCAAAACACTACTCTGTGCAGAAAAATAACGGTAGGCTGCGCTTCCATTACCTAATTCCAATAAAGGATCAATCAATATCCGAGGAACTGAATAAAATTCCCACAAATTTTGTTGCAATTCCACTCATAGACCACAAAATGACTAAATAGACTTCAAGCATAAATAGCATACACATTATAAATTGAGCTATGGTTTAGGGAAAGTGGACTAAGGCATTTCTGTACAAGGCACAAGTTCGAGCCCTACAGTGTTGCGCCAGCAACTCAGCAGGCCAATGATCACATCACATAAAGGATAAAGGATAAAGCATTTGCCGTTGATCAATCCCTTTTTGGGATGCGGCACGCATTCTACTTCCATTTGTACATTCGTAGTGGCGTTTGAATGCGATGTGGCCTATACAATGACTTGCGGGGGCCAGCCGATGTACAAGTCAGTGTTTTTTATCCTCCCAGACAAGTCTGGTACCAATTAACCGACCCCGGAGGGATGGAAGGCTTGGTTGGCCCGGGCGACTCACGACCCAGGATTTGATCCCCGGACCGCTCGCGTGGTAAGCGTGCCACTTGCCACTACACCACTTCCGCCCTCATCACATCACATAAGTGTTGTTTACGGCCAAATAAGGCCTCTCAAGGACACTATTCTACAGTGCATTACTCAAAAACGAATCAATTTCGGATTTCAAAAGCCGGCTTCTTCCACATCATTGCAAAAAAAAATTCGAAAAAGTGAAAAAAGAAATTCCTGTCAATAAACTGGAACAGGGTTGAGGCACCTATCTGAGATGGTTTGCCACAATTCACCCTACCACCATTTGATGAAAAAAAATCACTTGGAATCAATCGAAACTATCAAATCCTATAGCATTTTATTTGGTCTCATTTAGCTTTCGTTAGGTAAATACTGAAGGATGAAAAGAAAAAGTAGACATATTCGAAAAACTTCAGAAGAACAAAGAGGATCACAGAGGACCAGAAGCGATTCTGAGATGTGCGCCGATCGTTGTCGACTTCGCCTAGTAAATAGGCCGAATTTCGAGGAAACGTAACCCAAAATGGCTTCAACCACAACAGAAGCCTTATTAAACTTTGATATTCACAGGAGAAAAGCAAGAATCACTTTTCGAAACACTCACCATGTGCGAATTGTTGAGCGTTATCTCGTCCATAGGAGGCGGTAAGCCTTCGTCGACGGATGGACAACAATTAGAATCGGTTTCAGTGGAAAGTACGCCGTCTGCCACTGCTGTTGTTGCTGCTTCTGTTGCTGTTGTTGTTGTTGTCGTCGTGTTATCGGGAACCACGCCACCAACCACTTGTTGTGTTGTGGGATCTGCCGACGGTTCAACGTCACAACTTGAGAGCACAGCACGTGGTGTTCCCTGAAAATGCATACTTTCAAGTAAACTGTGCTCAGAAAATGGTCAAGCTATGACGCTAAAATTAGCACAAAGAATTGCTCGAAAACCCAGAAAACTCTATTCCAACCATCCCTTCAAGAGCGAGCACTGTGCCCAGTGAATGACCAAGGATTACAGTGACCTTTCACAAGAGAACCACTCATACAGTATCCTTACAACAAGCATATCTCCTTTCCTAGGATGACCAACTCTCTCAAATTGATCAATCAAGGACATTTTAGAATCTCCTAGAAATTTAATCCCTACACAACAAAAAGTACTCGAGGAACCCGACCAAGCGAACAACGCCAACTGGAGGATTAATCAAATCAACGCAGCCAGTTAAAAAGGAAATCACTCACTCTTAGGGTTTACAGCACACCATAAATAATATTTAAAAGGGTTTAAAGGCCAATAAACTATGACGGCTATCGAATCAAAAGAAAATATCCATAACGATGTGAACATAACTCACTTCACTAAATCTTTTCCGATTTGTCGGGCTTGATGGCGATTGATGGTCTTTTGCGGGGTTTGAACTCCCAAAGATTCGCCTATAAAGAATGATCGTCACGAGCTCATTGTATAAATAGAAAGTAGTGAAGAAAGGAAGAATAACACTGCTCCATACAGTAACCAAAATGATTTTTCCCGTGTTCCCCAAAAAGTCGGTAGAAGATAAAAAGGAAAAAGGACAAGGATAAAGAGAAGATGAGCTGTCTATGGTGATGAGTTTTGATGATGAGTGAGTCAGACGGTGTCCACGTCCACGTCAACGAAGAACATGAGAAGAGGAAGAGGGCAGACGAAAGAGAGCCTCGAAGCACCGCCCATAGTCAAGCGCATGCCTATTAACCATGGTCGGCAAGCCGCCGCCGATGCTGCTGCTGCTGCCGCCGCTGTCGGCTCCACCGATGCGGTTGCTGGTGCTCGTCGGCTCCCCATCTGTGAGCCAGCGTCGCCTCCGGGGCAGCGCGGCGATCGATGTGAGGCAGTGTGAATGTGGTTGGATGGTTGGCTAAGCGTATGTGAATGTATGTGTATGTACACATGTGTGTATACGTGAAGCCTGCTCACCAATCTGCCCTGCAGCACTTCGTCCGTGCGCCCCACAGACCCCTACCCCTTTTTTCATGGCTTGATCGCTTCAGTGGTTGGACGGCACTTCCGGAAAACAACTCCAACTCATTAGAACAGCAAGAACTTCTAGTAATTCAAAATCCTCACCCTAATTGGAGCTAGGAAACATCCCTTGACGTCATCCCCAACCAACACGCCTATTTGCAGCCCTAAGGTCGGCAAGGCTAAAGCGGAAGCCACTCCTAACGAACATCCGCAAAAGCGTACGCGAAACGGGTGAACAAAGGGGCGAAGACAACGACGATCACGATGACAAGGCCCGCCAGCAGCGGAGGCGCCGCTGCCGCCTTCTCAAAAATGCTACTCAATCTATGACAGAGCCACTGAAGGTGAGAAAAAAGCTGTCAGGCTCCCATCCGTGGTTGGCGCAATTGAAGAAGCAAAAGTGCCTTTGAGGTTAGTGAGCTCGCTTGGAAGAACAAGCAAACTCTGCTATCGGTGTCTGAACATCAGCCAGTCAAGTTCGGCCCAATATACACAAAACAAACAGAAAACCGATTTAGCTTGCCAATAACGTCGTTAACGAAGAACACGACAGCATCTAACAATGCCGAATTCGCAGAAATTCACTGGGGACCGTTGGACGAGATATGGGCGTGATGTTCCGTTCGTATCGCGACAAGAACGCTTGTTTAGGGTTTAGCATCCAGCAGAGTGTATGAAGTCGATTTGATGCCGCTCTAGTTTACGCGCATGAGAAAAAAAACCCTCCCAACACACACATTCTCATAGAAAGAGCCAATTGAAAAGAGGGAGTTTTTTAATAAAGGGGAATTAGTGCCTCTGCAGATCGATTTGCACACAGCAGCTCCAACAGCAGCTGCTGCAATAGCAATGGCATGCCGACTGTGTGTGTTTGTGGCAATACCGACCGGTTCCAGTCCGACCGTTGTGGTCAGACAGGTGATTAGACGTCATTAGCACTACTACAAAGACAACCAACCGATTTCACTCACTCAATCAGTTATAAAGAGGAAAAATAGGAGATTACAGGCAGTGATCACGATGGCTGGAGGGGTGCGGATCTGATGATGTCACTGGACGCCATCAGTGGACAGAAGTTTCTGCGCGATGGGGGTGTGGTTGGGACCGGCTCTTACCGCCCTCCCGCCAGTGATGGTCAATGACGTCATCAAAACCGTACTGCCCTTCCGACATCGTAATCACTGCCTTCAAGGTACACGGCGTATCCACCACGCCACGCAGTTCAGTTGACGGCACATTCCGCGACCGAATGGATATGTGGTATTGCATTCAAAAACGAAAGAAACTATGGTGAGGATTTTCTTTACTAGATTTCAAGAACCATTTTTAATTACTGCACCTCTGGTGTATATTACCGTAGCTAGGCGTGAGCCATGACAGTCCCGCAAGGCGGGGCGCAAAACCCCACACACACGGGCGCACAATGACTCAAACCTATTCGATCGCGAAAAGTGCCTAAGAACATTTCGTATTTGTTTATATTTCTGAATGGTTGTAAAAATGATGGAAAAATATAACTCAGAAAATTATTTCGAGAAGTCGAAAGCAAGCAGGCTCTTAAAAGTAGGGAACAATGTGCTCTTGCAGCAGTATATGCGACAGCGAACTAGCAGGACATATCCACACCGCTCGAGCGCGACACGCCCACCCTCTCGCCGTCTGACTCTAGCCGACCGTTAGCATTAAAGAAGTAATGAGAGTCGCAGAAATCAACGGGCAACGAAGGGATTAAATTTTACGGGTTCTGGGCTGTCCCTTATGGTTTTTCCTTTCATGCCTGAACAACTGACCTCCTATGCCTTTGAGTAATGGAAAATTAATAAATATTCGAAAAAATGAAATTAAATGTCAGCCAAAGCTCAAGAAAATGAGCGTACAGAAAAGGTTTTTTCTGCCTTTCTGGCTATCGTGACCATCTTAGAAATACATAGAAATAAATCATATCATGAGCGAGGTAATTTGCAAAGTTTTTCGCAAAGACCACATCTCGCCTTATGAGAAACCGTGACGACCCAAATAGAGCACTTCGCTTGGCAGCCACACTGGAACGAATTTACTACATTTTTTATGATAATACTAATAATTTTCATAGAGGAATTCAGATTGGAGTTTAGATTTGGTCTCAGCCACTAGGGACACCAAACTTCTTCGTAAAATTGTTAAAGCCAAATAGCATGAAACATCAATAGAAAATAGAAAACATTAAGGTCTCCATAAGCACCGATTCACACATAAATCCGCTCTTGCGACAAAACTAGATATTTCCTGGAGAGCCACGCGAGCTACCTTAAAATATACAGAGGGAGGCATAAAAAAGCCACTCCCAGCCACATTTGAAACGAAACTGATAACACCTTCGAGCTCAACGATCTCGAATGGAAATTGAAGAGCCTATTAACTAATCTATAAAAAATTCGTAAGAGCTTTCTACCCAAAAAAATCAGCAAATTTTCCCACGGAAACTTGGTGCATGATTCAAGCTCAACGAGGTCCTTTACGGATCGCTAATCATTCGAACCTATCTGGAATGCAGGTGAAAAGCGATCTTGCACAGTCAGCTAGTCTCTAGTGAAACACAAGCAATTAACCGATTGAAGGAATTATGTAGCACCTTCAGGCTGGAGCCAATCCGCTAGGTCTCTTTATGCTTCACGGTGGTCGTATAACGTCATATACTGAAGACGGTCAGAGGCCGTGAAGAAGGGCCAGCTTCAGCTTATGTGGGGACATCTAAGGAATACTGTGCCGTAAACACCCACCAACGGTGGCACTCTGTGCGACGAAAAGTTCGGTGGTGTGCGTCATGGGCGAAATGACTTTTTGCTCACCCTTCCCCCACTCCTCCCTTATGGGAAAACAAAAAAAGTATTACGAACTTCCTTAGCGAACACTGTTGACAAAATTGTATTTAAGATGATATACTTACTTAAGATGAAGGATTCCACGTAGTCGAGTTGTAAGCTCAACAGCAAAACGATGAACCCAGCATGCTTCCCGAAGTTCAACTCTCTACAATCTACTCTGTACTTGTGACCATCCACATGTGATCCAACTACTCGTTTCATTTTTCTCTATTTGTTGAGAAAGTTCATCCCTTAGCGTATACATAGAACTACATGGATGATGTCATCTTAACGCCCCCTCACGTCAGCAAAGAAAAACGGAGACTGGAGTGCAGTTCTATGACAAAAGGACTCCACATCCTGACTTGAAGCTCTCCCAAACAAGTAGGGAATACAAGTACATATTTTACCACTGAACAAAAAAATCTATAACAAATACAAAGATTTCTGATTACTTAAAGAGCTTAATCACAAACATTATGATAATTAGCGACTCGAAATTACAAAAATATATACAGGGGGGCCAAAAAAAAAGACATTTTGCCCATGTCGCACTTCGGCCTTTTTTCTTCGCAGAGATTGCCGTCGTTGACGGAAGTTCCTCAGCAAGAGTATTCCCTAATGTCCCTCTATAAGTAGACGCAGGCCCTCCTTCACTGCCCTCACCGTCTTCAGAATATGACGTCATCTGTCATCGTCGTCAAGCTCAAGGAGGCCTACCGTAACTGCTTCAGCCTGAAGCTCTTACATAATTTCGTGAATCGATTCAATGTTGGATAGTTTTCTAGAGACATTAGCTCCACTATGCAAACCCCCTCGGAACTAGCTTTTCAGTAAAGGTCGTTATGGTACACGATCCTTCGAAGACCCCATTGAGCTCGACCAGTGCACCATGTTTCCGGGCAAATTTTCTGATGCCGTCCACGTAGGTGGCCACTATGAAGATTTTCTTATAGAATGAAATGCGCTCTTCAATACTAAGTTGGAACCATTCGGTCTGATTGAGCAAAGTGTGCTTAAATCCATCTGGAAAGTGGAGACAAAATGTCTTTTTTTTTGCCCCCCCCCCTGTATTCAACCTGGAGTTCAATTGACGTACGTAAACTTAGCCGTCGGCACTGTTGGAAGGATATTTAATAGAACAAGAAAAGGAATAAATATATTTAATTTGTATAGATCAGTTCGCGAACCAGCCTACCCTTTTCAACTAATAACAAAATTTCCAGAGATATATCAAAGAATTTTGGATCTAGCGCTGGAGTGGAGGCGTTACTCATCGCAGCTCCCCCGGACTTAATACCGCTTCAGCAGGATAAGTCCGCTTAAAATAAGAGAGACCTGATGACAGATACCTCCCGTAATTCACTATAATGGCTGTAAGGTATACATTTAATTCTCCCCAAAAATGCGAATCTAAATCGATCCCACATGTTAGAATATTTGACAACGGCTTTTTCTTGATCGCTCCAGAGCTCCGAATACAGAGAAAAGTATGAACACTACAGATGGTCGAGAGATAAACGGAACCAAAATCGCCAACAGGTTTCAAAGAAATTGCGTTCACGTGAAAGCAGAGACGAGCCAGAGAGTCGCACAGGAATCCGTCAGTCAGCCTAGTTGTCACAGCAGCTTGAGGACAGTGCAGAAGTGGAAACTCGCGACTGAATCCAATGTAGGGAAAGAGTTAGGGGTGCGTGAAAATCTGGTTCCTTCCGTGACTCGCCCCAGCCAATGCTGCATTGGCAAGTGGCGCTACTCATCACATGCATAGTTTGGAGTTCCAACCTCCATCGATTCTAACCAGGTCTTCAAGTCCTTCCACATCGCCTGTTTGGCACGAGAATGGTTCGGCAGGATAAAAACACTGGCAGATGGCACATCGGCTGGCTCTCATCTCGAGTCATATGATGAGCAAAACTGCATTCAAATAGCGCCATAATCTGGGGATTGTCGAATACATGGCGCTTCTCCAAAAAGGACCTACGGATGGCAATGTTTTTATTTTCATTACCCGACCCCACCAGCTGTTTTGCAACGTGAACAGCTCTCTTTTCAAGGTTTTCAGATTTCATCAATCCCTACATCTAGGATTCCCGCAAGTTTACCTAGCACGTGACGTAGAAGACCATAGACCTGCTCTGCAACGAGACACGTGATCTCAAAGTCT